TCAGTATGTATGTAAGTCTTGCGCTGAAAGTGATTGAAAGTGTGGCGCAGCTTCGCAAAATCACTGTTGCTTTGCGCAAACTACTGCAAATGCCCTTGGAGTTTGATCCTGGGAAACAATACAGCCGTCTGGGCATACCAAGTCACCTTGGAACCCGAGGAGCCAACCCCATTCTAGCCTCCAAAGTGCGGATGAAATAGGGATATCCAAGATTTCAAGATTTTGGCCTCATTTTGATAGATTTTAGCCAAGCCCTAGATAAATTCAGAGGGATTCCAGACCTGGAAGTCTCTGTTTCTAGGCTCTGGTCGCACATTTTTTTTGCTGAGCTTGGCCTCTATCCAAGCCTTTGCAACTTGCTGTGTGCTGACCACCACACAAATCTGAAGAAGGAATTCCTTGGGATGCCCCCAGGGACGCTCACCAGGTCTTGGTCCCTTCTTTAAGGTATGTCCTCAGCTTTTGCTTTTTGCTTGGAATCTTGGCCTGTGCCACTTTAGCTGCAAATATTTTCCCAGGTCAGGTCCAAACACAACAAAGCAGCAAACAATGGTGGGGTGATGAATCAACATTAATGTCCAGTTTGTTGACCTTTTCTGCTGTCCACCTGCTTGCATGTTGGCCCTTACCATTTTAGCACACAATCTTTGAACAGTGTTATATAAAACACTTTTACAATGTGTTCCTGTAGATTTCCCTGAAACACATCCCTGGAGTCTTCTCAACAAAGCTTTGGCTCAAATCATCCTATATAAAATGGAGGGATACAACATCAGCCTCCAAAAAACATGTCATCACTCCATGCTTTCTTCACAGGAATGATGTTGCTAAAATCTCTCTTACAAAAGGGTGGTAGCCAACATCAGGATCCTAAATCCAAACCATTTTAGCCAGAGCATAGGTTTTCAACCGTTTTAGCCACGACATTGGGCCTGAAAATCAGGTGCCCCCTGGCTAAAATCTATCTCTGTGGGGGCCAAGCCAACCGGCATCCAAAGCCAAACGGCTCTAAACAATCGGACATCCATGAATGCAAGGGACCGTTGGGTGCCCAAAAACTATCAGCAAAGGTTTTGACCCTGTGTCAGACTCAAGCTACATGCAAGCCAAGAAGCTCGTCCGTCGGGCGTGGTGCAAAGTCCGGCCCATCATCAAGCCTAGTGCAAGTGACGATTTGAGGTGTTTCTGGGATGAACCCCAGATTAATTCAATCCAAGATCTCCCAGGTCAGAGGACGCTACACGAAAGAACGTGCTAGAGATTGATTTGATCTCCTTGATTTTGGGGCTGACTCCTTCAATGTGCAAAGGCAACATGCACCTAATAATACACATATCAATCTATTTGCATACATTTGCATCAACACACTGCAAATTTGCGTAAACGGACGCTATAACTTGTATGACACAGCTTCGCAGAGTCTCTCCATGCAAACTACTGCAGATGCCCTTGAACTTTAACCTGGGAAACAATTGAACATCCATGAATGCGAGTGACCGTTGGGCGCCGAAAGACTATCAGCAAAGATTTTGACTCCGTGTCAGACTTAAGCTCCATGCAAGCCAAGAGGCTCGTCCCTCCGACATGGTGCAAAGTCCGGCCCATCGTCAACCCTACAGTGCAAGGGCAGATTTGAGGTGATAAACATCCCTAAAGGTTTCTAGGATGAACCGCAAATTAGCTCTACTGTTGATATGTCTATATCAACTGATTGTTCGATCACTGTGTTGCTATGGCGTAGATGTTTCGTGATCTCTTCGCGTTTTTGATAATTAAATCACAAATATGAATGTAAATTCCCACAAATGCTCCAGGACGCTCCGCAGGCTCTGGGGGCTGTTGGAATCGGATGTCATGCAGAGTCAAGTCTGCCGGCTGCAGCGAGGGCTGCATCGAGGCAAACCCACAGATCTCCTCAAAAGCCAATCCGCAACGGGCATCCATACATGCCCAAAGTATCCCAAAGTTCTGACTTTGCTAGCCAGGCAAAACTTCAATGTGTCGAAGGTGCATCTGGCTGGCACCTTTGGTGTCATACCTAGCAATATTGTTTCAGGTGAAACGGGGCTGATATGATTCAACCAAACTCAACCTGACATAATCATACCACCAGAGAGATCAAAGGAATCGTGGGAAATTAGGGCTCAATTCTGGACAAAGGCTCCGGTGCCATGACGATCAACAAGTGAGCTCGGCCGGTGACTTGAAACAAAACGTCTGAGGAATCTGCGTCGTGAAACGGTTCAGTTCAAAAGTGCCGCTCAAATTCAACGTCTCTGCGTAATAGCATATCACGGCTAAGTACCAAACAAAAGGAGAGTACTTAAAAGGTAGAACTCTCGAGAACAATTTAAAAAACACAGTTTCCGCAAGAAAAACCAAGCAAGGTAGAGACTTTGAGATCAAAGGAACATTGAGTTTTCGAGAGAAAGGCGAAGAAGAGCGGAGATCTTACAGAAGCAATCTGAAAGCGAAACACATCTGAGAGCACACTCGTGAACACACATACAATTACCACACGCCACACGCGTGAGAGCACACATATGAGAGCACATGTGCTGCGCTTGCCATAGAATCTGCACCTCCAGGTTCACAAAACGCCGCTTTTGCCACGAAGTCTGCACCTTCAAACTCACAAAACGCTGCCTCCACGAAATCTGCGCTTCAAGGTCCACAAAGCCCTGCGCCTGCCACGCAATCTGCACATCAAGATTCACATCGTGCAGCGCTGCCAAGGCGTTTTGCAGCAAGAGCGCCGCCAACTGCCAAAGCGCTGCTTTAGCTCGAGACTGCCCCCCAACTTCTGAAAACAAGCCACTGCACTTGTGAGGAAATCTGCACATCGATGTAAAAGCACGCTCCGATCTCTTGCGCCTGCCACGATAAGTCGACTTTGGACTTTGGACCGCCGCAACACGAGGTTTCCTTTGAACCTGCCACTGCGCACAGCGTCAGAACGAGAGCGCAGTCGAGAAAAGCACCCGTTCCAGCCCACCAGTTTCTGCGAGGCGGACATGCACTTCGAAGATTTGAAGGTGACTGAGTGTACTGTAAATAGCAGTGATTTAGCCGGACACGCCGATGGAGCACCGTAAGAACCCCTCGTGTGTGACCACACTGGTTGGTTAAAAAGCAGGAGATTCCGAGAGAGACGTATCGAAAAGGCTCTGAGCAAGTAGAGGTTTCTAGAGTCTAGAGGAAAGCACACGAATATCGAGGCTATATAAGAGCAAAAGTACAAATAGCAATAACATGATATAAACAGTATAAGCTTCGAGATAAACACAAAAAACATGTAGAGTAGAGATGAGTAGAGGTTCAAGGGAAAGTACTGAAAAGCCAAGACTTCGAGGGCCAACCTTCACGAATGGAGAGTTGTGGACATTAATTAAGTCTCGTTGACTAATGGGGAAATTGAATCGATTGAATAACATTGATATATATATATACACATTATATACATATATATAGATACGTCGACAAACACGTTCATTGCAAGAGTCGGCATTCTGTCGCACAACCCCTGAACCCAGCTGAGCATGTTCTGACTTGCCTGAGTCAACAGGATGACAAACAAGGCACTGGAAAGCCAGTGGAAGGCAAGCGCAACGGCTTGAGTACTGCACGCGGGAGAATATTTCACCATCATGACTCATGACCCATGGTTACCAGGGTTTTGCTCCCTTACACGGTCTTGTCCCTTTTTCCAAGTTGCTTCCAAACGTAATATTGTCATCCAAAGCTTGCAGCAAAGAATTTCTTTGCAACGCTCCAACTCTATAACGCATTGGAATCAACAACAGCCCGCAGCTCAAGCAGCGCAACAATACAAGTGTCTCAGTGATCTTCCTCCTGCTGAATAGCTTCTCGCTTGATCTCGCTTGTACTTAACTGGTTTGTACTTGAGCTGTTTCCAACTGCTTGTCCTACATACACTATGGCCTTCAAAGGCCATTGCTCGCAAGACTAGAGCCTACAACTCTGTGCAGGGTGCCTAGCAAGGTCAAATGAACTCCAAAGAACGGACCTTGGCCTCTACCACTGGTAATTGCTTACTGCAATCGGCTGGATTGCAAATGGCGCAGCCCCATGATTGGATGAGACTCCGATGCTCCTTGCCAATTCAGCATGGTTTGTCCTCAAAATATGAGAGGGCGTTTTCTCGTGGGTTCTCTTGATCTTATCAAGCCCTGCGCATACCTGATGATGATGTGAACACGTCGATATGAACACATCGAACAGGCTCATCACAACTAACACTGCCCCCTCCTTGTGCGGACGGCCTCAAACGAGATTGATTTTGTGCTGCAGCCCCAAACAGACTGCAGCGACACAGCTACGAGCCACATCACATGAGAACGTGGCAAAACCATGATGGCAAATTCACGTGTGGTTAGCTGCGAACAAAGAATTGCGCTGGTATCCTTTACACTACGATGGATTGAAGCTGACCCAGAAGGTTTTGCCCAGAGCCCACGTCGATCAAAACCAGTGCCACCTGCGCAAGCTGACATAGGGCATGCGCAGCTGGGATGCTGACTTTGACGATGGCAAACTTCAACTCTTTTCCAGTTCTTGGTGAAACAAACAGCCCTGCACCTAAGTGGGTACATCGTGTGGATATTGCGGCCAATTGTCTGGTGGCACCCAATTTATAGTGCAGTACACAGTGCTATACTCTGTTTTTCTTGGAGGAACTTAGGTCAAAAGGCATGAGATGAGCTCTAAAAGTGGCTCATCTGGCGGTTCTGATGAGGTGAAAAGCCATATTAGTATGGAGTACTCGGGGATACGCTTGCTCATCGTTCTTCAAACAAATATGTTACTGAAATCTTCTTGTTACACATCCAAACTGGCCTTCAGGCTGCTGCTTTTGCTCCTTTGCTGATCGTCATGAGGGCTCGATCAAGGCCCTTTCATGAGTGGATTATTCTTGAGTGTAGCTGCGACACAAGAAGCACTTGATGTTTTTGACACTTGAGCTTTAAGAAGTGCACCATTGCGGTTTATGCCACAGTGGCCCGAAGGGATTTGCTGAGTGAAAGATCAGGGCTGTGCGTCACCCAGAACTCTGTCCAGCGTGTTGCAGCCTGTACAAAAGCCTTTGCTGGAGATGTGAAGCGTGGAACCTAATGAAACTCGCGCCTGGCCATCAGCCGGTGCGGCTCCAATCTGGCCCCTACGACTACAAATGGCGCAGCCCCATGATTGGATGAGACTCCGATGCTCCTTGCCAATTCAGCATGGTTTGTCCTCAAAATATGAGAGGGCGTTTTCTCGTGGGTTCTCTTGATCTTATCAAGCCCTGCGCATACCTGATGATGATGTGAACACGTCGATATGAACACATCGAACAGGCTCATCACAACTAACACTGCCCCCTCCTTGTGCGGCTACGAACCACACCACATGAGAACGTGGCAAAACCGTGATGGCAAATTCGCGTGTGGTTAGCTGCTAACAAAGACGGGCGCTGCTATCCTTTGCGCTACGAGACCCAGAAGGTTTTGCCCAGAACCCATGTCGATCAAAGCCAGTGCCACCTGTGCAATCTGACATAGGGCAGGCACAGCTGGGTTGCTGACTTTGACGATGGCAAACTTCAACTCTTTTCCAGTTCTTGGTGAAACAAACAGCCCTGCACCTGCCTGCACGTGGCCAAAGTGGGTATATACATCTGGCTGGTTCAACGCTGCGGAAGTCCATTGTATGAAGTAATTACTTGGGTTGTGCAGCGTCATTCCACAAGAGCTGGGGTCGGCATGCACTTTTGAATATATATATATATATACTGTACTCGGTTTTTTCTTCACACAAACATGTTGCTCAAATTCCAATTCCTGCAATTGACCTGGGATAAGCGTATGCAGCATTTGCCGAGCTGAGGTTCGGAAATTCAAGTGAATTGCTACCTCGTTTTTCTTCTCTTTACTTGCTCCAAATCTCTTTCCTTTCTTGTATAGCTTGAAGTGGCCAACGGACGAAGGGGCAATCTTTTCTACGCGGACATGACTAGAGCATCAGGCGGCTAGGAGGGACATGAAATGAGCGGACGCACACAACCAGCCTTGCTGAGACTTGCCCTCTGGCATAGTTCCATAAGCTCCATCAGTGGCCACCGCAAACAGCAACTCTTTGAGGCCGCATCCAAGCTGCACAAAGTTCAGCGGCACATCCTTCTGGAGTTGCTTGATGGCCTGATTAGCCATCCTCAGATGTCGCACTTGAGGAGCCTTCATACTCTGCTGGAGCATAGAAACCAAGAACAACACATCAGGGCGACTCTGCCTTGCCGCCCAACTCAGTTTGCCATTGATGCATCTGAGAGTGCTGATCTCCTCCTCGGTCAGAAGTCGAGCATCACGCTCACTGGAGGGCACCTTCACTTCAACAAGATCTTTGCAGTACTCTGCCATGGAAGTCGTGATCTCAAAGGTCTCAACGTCCTGCTTCAGGTGCCTGCCTAAGAACTTCAAACCATCACTCATTGGCGCCCAGCTACCGAAGGTCAACCTTTGCTGGAGCTCCTTCCAAAGCGGTGCTGCGACCTCCCCTCCAGCCAAAAGCACATCATCAACGTGCACGGTCGCCACGGCAACTAACTCACCCTTCAAATGAAGAGTGAAAACACATGGGGCCAAGGTCATTTCTCTAAAGCCAAGTTGCTGGAGGTGCTTGCGAAGGCCCAAGTACCACAGTCGTGGTGATTCGTTGAGACCAAAGACACCCTTGACCGCTCGCACCACGTCCTCTCGATAGCCTTTGAGCTGCTGACTTACATATTGGTGCACCTCTTCAGGCATTTTCTTTGGAAACCAAATGTAGAGAGGTTTATCTCGTGGCAGTGGTTCACCCTGCAAGAAGGCTGCAGTGATGTCTCTGCCGTATGCACGCCAACGCATGTTGACTGTGATGACCAGCGACAAATGGTGGCCCAGCAATTGAGCAGTTGGAGACGAAGTGGCATACTCCCCGGCATGTGGATCCAAATGCCCACCAACACAAAGGCGACCTTTAGGCCCAAATTCCCGCTGCAACCATTTCTTGTTGACAATCACGAAGCGACTCTGCAAGGTGTCGTCCTTGTTGATCAACTGGTCCAAGGCCACCGGCTCGAGATCAACTGCCTTGTAGGTGAAATGAATCTCCAAGGCCTTGATCAGCGCTGGAACTGTAAGTCGCCTTTCAGTTGGCGTCATATCCTTGAGGTAGATCTCGCCACGAGCTCCTGGCTCCGGTCCAGCGCGATGACCTCGCTCGCGCTCCATCTGTCGAGCATCATTGTCGAAGGTCTCCAGCATGTCCTGAGGCGATCACACTCCTGTGTCGATGTGGATGTTTTCAAAGCCCATGCTTCCGATGCCATTAGCGCGTCAGCAACTAGGGGAGCTAAGGCACTTACTCCAGGTTCAGAGGCTATGTCCTCCACTCGCTGAGACTTGAGCATAGCTTCTCCCCCTTCATCTCGTTGTCGAGCGCTGAGTTCTAGCCCGGCCTGAATTTCACGATGTACATGTTGTGCGTCTTTCTCAGCTGAAAATCTTTGAAGATGTGATGCCGACGCCAACTCCAACTTGGATGAAACGTCACCCCAGATTGACTGCCACGTGTCCTCCTTCCCTCCACGTTCAAAGAAGGCAATGCGTTGTGGCACTGACGCCTTCACGGGATCATAGGGTCCTGCTCGATGTTTGGGTGGCAGACCATCCAATTGACGGCGACGATCCTCAGACTGTTTGGCCAGGCTCACAATCTCCTTGGTCGGCTCTGGGACCTGCGCAGGAGGTTGTGGTGGAACCACCTCCACCGTCGAGGGAGCAGCCGGAGCGGCCGCCGAGTGCTGCTCTGCCTGATCCACCGAGTTGCCGAAGTGGGGCTGTGCCTCGCTGGGTGGACCAGGGTGAGGAGCCTCGGACGCCCTGCCGGGCTCAACCTCCTCCTCCGCCAGATCTTCATAGCCTGGTGCACGCCGACCTCCAGTCAACTCATGTTCCAATTCAGCCATAGCTTCACGAATGAAGGATGTGGCAACCTCCTCCTCCTCCTCCGTCGCCAATCTCACATTCTCGATGGCGACACGTACCACCGACCCCTTGTACCGGACCCACAGTCGAGATGGCCCATCAGCACATGCGACAATGGCAGGTCCCTGATATCCAGTGGCATAGTCCTGCATTCTCTTGTTCTGCGCAGGCTGTTGAAGAAGTAGACCACTGTACCAGGAGCCAAGGCATCAGCTTTGAGGTGAGGTGGCTTGGATCGGCTATTCAAGGCCACTCACAATCGCTCATGAGAATCCAGCCAATGAAAAGCTGCACCTGCTTCTCGTCGCATCCTCTCCATCTTCTGTTGTTCTTGTTGCATGGCCAGCTGACTGTTCGTGGCGAACCGGATCTCTCCCTTGTCCACCTGGTCGATCAGTGATGATGGAATCACGACATTCTTTGCCTGCACGGCCATTGCCAAGGCAAACTTCAGGTCAGCTTCCTTGGACAAAGACATCTCATGCACCATCTTAAGAAGGATGAGCTTGAGGATGGCGCCATGACGCTCAGCTGTCCCGTTCTTCCACTTGGCCGAAGTAGGCAGCGCATTCAAACAGATGTCATAGAGGTTGCACAAAGGAATGAACTGGCCCCGAAACTCTGGGCCCCCATCAACGGTGAGCTGATTCATGGGTCCATGGATGAGGATCCACCGTTCAAACAAAAGCTCTGCGCTAGTCTGAGACGATGGGTTCTTGGAAAGGATGGCATACTGTAAGGAGCAAAACCCATCAACCAAATGTGTGACATTCCAACGTCGGCCCTCCGCATCCAAAGGAAGATCTGCTGGATCAGGAGGTGTACCGTGAGGATCCAACGATGTCTTATGGACACTGTTTTCAACAGACGACACTAAAGCGTCAGCGAACATGTCTTGCGCATACAACGATGTCGTTTGTATCGCATGGTTGGGGCACGTGATACTTCCAACATCGCCAACGATGTCAACTGCGCGCCACAATATGAGGGATAATGGTGTGGAGCGGTGTGGAAGACTATCATTGTGCCACACATTATATCATAGATTGCACTTCTGCAGAGTTGCAAATGGAAACGACACCGCCGGCGATGCCTGATTCGCAAATGGAAACGACACCGCCGGCGATGCCTGATTTGCGTGATGGAAACGACACCGGCGGCGATGCCAAAAGCTTGCGCCCATGGA